TCATACTTATTGTTAGTCCATTATTTACACACTGAATTGACGACGGATTTTCCCGTTATTTCCCGATCATGACAAGGAGCACACGGCGGGTGTGACCGGTCGGCAGTGGATGCTCACTCCTCCATGACACCTGATCCCACCTCTGATGTTTTGAAGGTCCGTGTTTTCGCAGCTCATATTTTATATTGTTTTATGGATTTTGATCTGGAATACTGTTCGTTATCTCCGCATGTTTCATTCAATAGGTAATAATGTGTTCACGTTCCTGAAATGAAGCAGGGATGTCTACTTGATATTGATGCTGCTAGTCGTGTATTGCTGTAAGTAATATTTTGGTCTCAAGCTTCAAGTCTCTTAAGACAATCATGATTTGGCATGCATCGAATGTCATAGATAGAGAAAGTAACGACATTTTATATTTTTTTTGTTATATCATCATTAAAGGCTAAAGAGAAAAACAAATCTTATACAGGCAAGTCTATATAATTTAAATTCTTATCATTTGAATTTTTTCACAGCTCATTTGAAAATAGAAGGCTAAATATCTATCCCCTTCTAAATTGTCAAGAGTTCCATGTTTGGAAACATTTTAAGGAGATAAGGGTGTAAGCTTTTTTTCTATCTATGATAAAAAACTTTCTTTCTGTATGTAAATCAAACGTAACACCCTTTCAGAGGTCAGTGTACAGAAGTTTCTATTTGTTTAACTACATCTTAAGAACTTTTTTTCATTTTTTAGTCATGTACATACCTTCATAGGAAACTCTAAGAGGTTTTCATTGAAATTTTAGTTTATTATGATATTGTATAGGAAACATGATATTATTTGATACATGATATATTACATTCACGTTTATCAGTTGCATCAAAATTATTTCATGCTTACGTACGCTGCAGATTGATTGAAACATATATAGAAAATTTCAACACAAGAAGACATGGGAGATGGTTTTAAAAAATGTATACCGGTATATGAATTATACAGTCAATATGTTAAAATTGCGAGCAATTCATCATTTCAATATTCTTTTTTTTATGGGCTTAAGGATACTATTTTTACTACTGATGAAAAGATGTTTGGAACCATTTTATTCTACATGGACATGTAACCATTGGCAGAGCTTTCCAAAGTATTCAGGAAGCACTAGAGAGAAGTATATCAGTAACTGAGCAGTGTATGCATAATTTAGAGATGAATTAGGTCAGCAGATACATTAAGAAGGATGAATAAAATTCCCTTTCTATTTACACTAATATTGAAATTCTGTCACATAATCTATTGACAATGTAAGCAATTTTTGATTTAAAACCTTTAATTTACTGTTTTATTTCCTTTTTTGGTCAATTAAAAGATTATTTACCTATATACTTTATAAATATGTATAAAAAGAGTTTGATTATGCTTATCAACAGTCACATAGCTTTATAATTTTTTTGCTTGAGGAATATACTGAATGAAGGTAAGCATTATTGTAAATATGTTCAATGAACGATTTTGAAAAAGGGAAAAACTTTATCAATTTGCATATAACAAAAGCTTTTACCATGACGTTTACTGGAGGGGTATATCATTTAGAAAAAAAAAACTTAGAAAGAACACAAAGAATGGGAGGTACATGTATTATGTAGATTTAATATGATAGTTTTGCAGTACTAAGACCTAAGTCTGTATTTCCCAGTCTTTCAAAATTACAATTTGGGTAAAAATGTTCATAGGTTAAAAATTAGAAGAAAAATACCTTTCTGGAATCAACCTTTAAGTTAGTAAATGTTTTTCACGACTGCACCTAGGGTACTATTATTAAAATTCAACTCCTACGAAAAAAAATTGATGGATTTATTACTTTTTAAATTTAATCTACATTTTTTAGAACTAAAATATGACATTTCAAAAAGTAATTTTGATGAATTCAATTTCTTTCAGCTCAAAAAGCAAAGAGATAAAATGAAGCTGTGGATAATTCTTTCGGTTTTAGTAGGACGTGTTTTATCTGACCCTGAGGACTTATTCCTGGCTTGTCTAGTTTTTAAACCGGAGCATGAATGTCTTAAAATTTTGGAAGCTGGATTTCCAGAAATATCAGGATCAAGTGCGTCTGCAACTTCCTCCAGCCAGAGTGGAACAGCGTCTGCTGCGGCTTCAGCGGCTTCAGGAAATGCAGCTAGTTCAGCATCTGCATCAACAACTGGTTTTGGAGGACGTGCATCAGCGGCGGCGGCAGCAGCTGTCACAACTTCCGGCGGATCTGCATCGGCTTCTTCCTCTGCTACAGGAAGTGCACAGCGTGGATTTTCTTTTAATCCACTAACTCGTAATACTCAAAGGATTGCAATCCCGAAATGGTTTGGTGGATTTGGTGGTTCACCAAGTATCAGCAGTAGTTCAAGCTCCAATAATAACGATGTTTCCAGGATTATTCAGAGTATTTTCCCTGATGGATCCGCCACTACAGCGGCATCCTCCTCCGTTTCCGGTTCATCTCTTCTCCAAAGTCCCCCACAAAATATCATCCATCGCCCTTCACTCCACCAGGTTGATCCTTGTAACCATATTCACCCTGCTTTACGTGGGTCTTGCTACCAAGGGTCACATCGTCCATCAAGACGACCCCCTCCTCGTCGTCAACACTTTCAATTCCCACAAACGCCGTGGGAATTAGCGTCTAGTCCTGGACCTGAATTCCCATCATCACTGGATAACAACCACCTGTTGTTTCCTTTGTGAGCAATTATATTGTAATACAGTGTATCATCCTAGAATTTTATACAGACTATCAAATTGATTGAATGTACAATTATATTTTGCTGAGCTTTTTTAATAAGTTGAATTCGACAATCAGATACATTCTTAAATCTACACGTATATACCATGGGTGGATTGAAAATTTCTCTCATGTTCTATTTTCGTCTTATACAAACTCATTAGAAGTACGCAATTCTAAAAAGGGGCTAATCTAAACAGCACCTAACGGTTTTTCTACACACAAGTGCAATTCTGGGACTAGGGCAGAAAAACAGGCCCCTAGTTTTTTTTGAATTAGGATCACATGCCAAGGAGGAATAAACATCCCTTGTCAACCGCCAAAATCCCTAAATATGTATTAGCAGACCTATTTTTGTGAAAAGAAAACAGAAGAAAACACTTGCTGTATTCTTCTTTTCTCAGTTAACAAAGGTTATTTCCATTCTGTGTTGATTCGATATATTCCGATGAGTTTGAGATAAAAAAAAATACTACAGAGTTTGACACGTCTGTCTCATAATTAGATTTTACAACCACGCTTTATAATAAACGTGATGACTTTAACTTTTCAATCGTCAACTTCTCTTACGTATGCAGCAATATACCTTCATCACGTGCATACGAGGTTTATATCTCTCAGTTGATTCGATACGCAAGGGCATGCTATACATATGAACAATTTATTAAACGAGGTAAATTATTGACAAGCAAGTTGTTGAAACAAGAATATCAGCAGTCTCATTTAAAGTAATAATTTTCGTAAGTTATACGGTCGATACAATGACCTTGTCAGCAAATACAATTTATCATTGCGTCAAATGGAGACTTCCTTTTTTCTTATTAATTGTTAGGCCATAAAACATGTGATTTTAAGCAATTTAAAAAAAAACAAAACATTGAACGTCTCACTCATGGAATAGTTCAACATTTAAGAGAAAAGTTTTGCTTTTTAGTACTGTCTTATTCAATATCAATTAAATGACAGATAATAGTACTTTAGTATTTACTTTTGCATTTTTCTGATTTTAATTAAATGATCACAGCCTTCCTCTCAATAAGTACAACTATCCCTAGTGAATTCTCACAGCCCTCAAAAGACGTAAATCAACTTTTCCGTGTCTATGATATATTGATTTATGTCTTCTGACATTGTAACATCTTAATCACGTTTTTGAATCTTTTTTTAATATACACACTTGATTTGATTACAAACAGATCCAGGTCTTGAATTGACTATTAAAATTCCAACCATTTGCAAGTGAAGGAAATGAATTGTTTTTCTGGTTAAAGATCGTCTTTAGCTACAGTTTGCCATTCCTTAGATGGATACCTCAATATTCATTGTATATTCCTTATGAACTTAACGTTTTTACATATTAGGAGACTATTAACATTTGAAAATATTTTTTTGTTTATTTAAAATTATGTATGATGTAAAAGACTCTTTGTAAACAATTGTCTAATCTACAAGATAGCGAAAAGTACTAATGCTTGTATTGAATTATCGTATGATATTTATATGAATAAAGAAAAAAATATAAATATGTATTCTGTGTGATTTGGTTTTATGCATGCATGAACTAATATTATATACATGTATCAAAATTTTGGTCAAACAATGTATTTAAGTAATCACTACTAGAGTTTGCGAAATTGCCCTATCAAGTGCACTATATAGCTCTTCAAAATGCATTTTCATATCAATCATTTTTTTTGCAAAATTACTTTTTACAAGAACTTTTGATTTTTTTTATTTTATTCTTTAAATCAGACTGTAAAACCAAGACATTTTTATAGTCATGAATTTATTAAATGAAATGATTATCAACATGTCATCTATGGGTCTCATAGATGCTAAACTGTACATGTTATGCTCCATTTAATTAAAATAATAGTCATTGAAACCGTCAACATTGTTTCCATATTTACTAGTATCTAGCTGATACGTACGATTTTATCGAGGAGAAATACTTTTTAATAAGTACAAAAGCAATCAGTTTTCAAGGACTATAAGGTCAAAAGCATGCTTAATTTCCACCAAATCTTTCAAACAGTATTTTATTCAGATTTTAAACCAAAGCATATCATGATCAGTCATAAAATACACACAAACTAAATGATAAAACATTGAAGAAATAAAAATCTACAAATACCAGAATATATATTAACACAAACATACAATTTAATACAGACACTTGAAAGACACACAATTTTGTTGACATGAGTATTTTTGCATTTATATGCGAAGAGGTTTTTTAACTAATCGTTCTATCATCGACAAAAGGTGAAAAAAGATAATAGTAGACTTATGATTAACGTGATGGATGGACGAATATACCCAGCACCACCACCAAAACCTGCAAAGAAAGAAATAAATGTATTTAATTAAAAAACAATGTATTCCTTCCTTATCATTTGAACATTTTCAGCTTCTTTTTGAGCCACGAAACTACTTTTTACCAGTTCTGATATACCAGTATAGCATCTATTGGTAAAGGAGACAAAAAAATTAGATTTTTTCGTCTCTTCCCTCTTGGGCGGCCTGGAGGGTGAGGTCAAAATTAAAATAACTGTAATATTAAAAAATCTTTACTCCTGCGCATAAAGCAGCCATACTGTAAACATTATAATGAATATTGACCCAAATAACAACATTCTGAAATTAACGTCCCTGGATCAGACATTCTTTTGCTATGGTTGAGTTCTATACATTCTCCCTTCTTTCCTCGGTACATTGAACAGATCAATTGAGAGCAAGAATATGATAAGCAAGGGTTTTTTATCTGCCTAAATTCCATTATTGTCTAAAATTAATAGCAGTGCTCTATTTGATTATAAAGTGAAGGGTCAAATTACGTTTTTTCGATTTTCTTCTCTCCCTTTGTCTATGGTAATAATGACCAATAAATGATGCATTTTGAAAACTTGCTCTGTTTTTGAATGTTTAAAATAGACAATGAGCATGATTATAGTGAGCAATTGTATCTTGCATTCATGGGAACATTAACCCATTGGGTCTCTTTTAAATTTCCCAGTTTGACCAGATAAACCCTATTTTCTAATGACAGTTAATTATTTGACTTACCCTGAGTGTATTTTGACCAGATATACTCCATTTCCCAATTACAGTTAATTATTTTCTTACCCTGAGCGTATTTGGAGCAGATAAAGCCTATTTTCTGGTTACAGTTTAAAGTAATGTATCTTCCTCCAAACCCTAACCAGGTGCAGTCTTTGGTACCATCAGGATCTGCAGGCTCGCCATGCCAATTTCTAGATATTTGTACAAGTATTTAGCTATTTATTAAAAATAAATATTTTTGATCTTATTTTAAATAATATTTCAAAGATTTTCAACGCCTTATAAAAAACTTTTTAAATATTAAAACTACCAAACTCATGTGTATATTTACTTAATATTTTATAAAACGCCTTACAGAACAAATATATTTTAATCATTTGATGGACTTTGCATGGTACTCACATGACAATATTATTGGGTGGATTGTCGGTCTTGTCTGGGTAGGTCCAAACGCCCTCTACATTCCTGTCATTCAGTCCTGTCCAGAACTGTCTTCGTCCACTAGTAGCTATAGGTACAGTTGGTAATGTGGTTTGAAGCCATTGCTGTAAATAAGACACTGCAAAGTCACACTATATGATCGACCCTGTATTCTAAAATTCCTCTACAACTACTTTCTTGGATGGGTGGACAAAAAGAAGTTTCTTAACAATAAGGAATTCAGCCATTTTCTTACATTTCATTTGAAAAAATTCTAATGGCAGACATTATGTTGACCATTTGTTTTTTGATGTACCAGCATGAAATAAACTTTGTGCGTTGAATAGCATGTACGTATGTTGTGTAGAAATGCAGGAAAATAAATCATATCATGTATAAAGCAGATAATCAAACAATATTAAGATTTTATAGTTTTCAGGATAAGTTTAAAATCAAACCCCACCCTACATCCCAACCTTCTAAAAAGCGACAAAAACACAAGGTTCTTAAAAAAATTACAAACATCTATATGTAATTGTTATGCTTAGATATAATTTAATTTGACAAATGTTGGATAATTAATATACTTTAAGTATAATCATAATTTTATTTAGAAGAAAAAGTGTAGCGTTGGAGTCAGGGGGTCTATACTTGTGCTGTGCTATTTTTAAAAATGTGACAAGAGTAAACAAGGCGAACTCATTATAAATACTGAAATACTGAGTCTGCTCAACAGAGTGAGCACTAGGGAGCTCTCAAAAACATATCTGGATAAGGAATTTTGGCGAGCCTTCGAGAGTGTTCGATTTGTTGAACACGCCTACCATTTCTTCTTGATCGTTGACGGCTACTAATTTAGAAGGTTGGTTGACATCTGTTGTCATGCTATAGCATTTAGTCTTCGCCTCAAACCAGTTTCTAGAATCATTTGCGGCAGAGAAATAGTAGCATTCATAATTATCACTTCTCTGCTTCCACCCAGGAGGACAGTCACCTACATAAAAATTCGTGCTGTAGATTGCGTATTTAAAGAGTTAGATCTCTTTTCAAGAAAAAATGTATTGATTTTGCAACTGTGTGAATACAATAGCAATAAAAATGTAAAATAAATGCAAAACTCAACAGGGTCTCCCCTGCATAGAAATAAAAATTATATCGTATACAGTGTACAAAGAAAGTACCTTGATTAAGATTTGGGTATTCGCAGATATACTGGAAGGATATGGTACAGTCTTCATCGTTCCAGTTGTAATCTGCGGTGATCGCCGCACAGTCCTCGTTTCCGTTCCATGCATTGGGCTCCTGGTTCCAGTTTCTGAATGGAACATGTAAGAATGCAAATTTTATATTCTAGTAGGCTTACGGAATTAAAAATGGAACATATTTATCAATGAATCGGAGTAGATTTGTTGTATTATAAATAGGAAGGGAATGTAACTCCTTTTGAAGATAACAATGAAAGAAGAGAAGGGGATGTCTCATTGCTATTTACATGTGTAAAATGTAAAACTTAAAAAAAAAATTCAGATGCTTTGAAAATCAAAAAAACATGTTATCCAGTAGAAGCAAAAACTCAAATTAGCGCTTTAATAATTTCGGGGTTTAAAAGTAATACAAAAGTACAGTTTTCGAAAAAGACAATGTTTTTTGTAGAAATGTCAATATATCTGTCAATTTTTCCCATAAAAAGACCTCTTACAGAAAGTCTTACTTACGATATAATTGAAATAGTACTCACACAAAAGACACGTTATATGGAGTGCCATCAGCCCACCTATAGTCACCTTCTTTTGCCTGATCATTCAGTCCAGTGAAGTACATAGAGTAATGACCGTTCATAACCATCTGTTGTTCTAGCCAATACTGTGAGGCAAAAATTATAATTACACGACGACAATCAAGAAATTAACTATATATCCTCTTTCATCATTGATTTCAAACTCAAAAAAAAGCAACATCATAATCTATGGACCGAAACATTTCCATATTTTGTCTCAAAGGAGGGACAAACACATTACTCTGTCATCTATTGAGTCAATTTTAAGGAGGTCGCCTCCCAGCTGTTGACAATTAGATCGGGCCTGTGTGTATGTGGACCAAGGTTTGTCATAAAACTGGTAGCATTTGTTGTTGGCCCTCACCCATCCTCCACACCCCATGTAATATTCCGTGTGTACTGGAAGGAAGGTAATTACAGATTTAGATTAGGTATAAAAATTTAAAGCGCCTGCTGATATTTCTTTTTCATTCTCAGTGATTAATATTTCATATAAAAAAAGGTTCAGTGATTATTGCTTTAAAGGCAACAGCTCACCACTTTTAGATTCCTTGTAACAGATATAGTTAAACGGTTTACTACAATCCTGATCAGAAAAGGTTCCATCTACTTTTAGTATTGCACAATCTTCGTTATTGTTGATGTGGTCTGGTTCTGTTGCCCAGTTTCTGCAATAAAAATAATTGTACTCTTTGAAACAGTTAAACCAAAATCAGTTAATCTTAAAATTGTCTCTAATTCAAAGTAAATTACGGGTAAAAAGGAAAGCCCTTGAACTATGAATCAGTTGTATACGTAAATACAAATATTTTCAAAAGAATGAAATACGTCACCAAAATGAGTTAAACGTACACATATTGTGGTAAATACGTATCTCCGTTAAACCAGCCCCAACCAGTGGCCTGTTTGGTCAGACCTGTCCAGAAAAATCTGTCTGTGGCTCCAACAACTGGCATTTCACCGAGAATATATGTCTAAAAGGGATGAGACAATGGCAATCAGAAGTTGGACGGTTATTCGCTATTCGCTATTCGCTATTCGAATGGCGAACCGCAGGCTGTCTGCCGTTCGCTATTCAAATTACCGTAAATGTCCTAATAAATTTTTTTTCAAAAAACTTTAAAAACGCATTATAATCCGTGTTTAAGAAGAAAAGCAAAGACTTCACTTAAAGAAGAGGACTGAGGACCCCAAACCAATGCAGCTAGCCTGACAAACTGATGAATATTTAGCTAGCCTGGTCAAAATTGGATAAAAAAAACTGTTAAATACAATACTAAGTATTTGAACATCT